GAGAAATTGATAAGCAATTAAACTGAAGCAGTACTAGTAATGATTTTTCACCACTTTTTTTAAAGTAGCATTTTCATAACTATCCACAATAGCTACAAAACTCGTAAAGGATGTGATTTTAACTATGTTATATTACCGATCTATTGTATCTCTCTAAATTATATGCAGTAAGTATGCCTTAATGTCTTTTTTTACTTTCTGGTAGTTTATCAAAGAAACGTTAACCGAGCCTCATAGTTTCTGGAGAAACTCAATTCAGTACATTTTCATATTACATCCTCCTATACTTTCCAGTAGCGCATTTCCTGATTTTGGTTGATTAACTTTTATCATTCACATACTGAATATTATTATTTTATTGAATCAAATAATTGCTTCATATTCCTTTTAGTATATTACTTTTAGAGAATACGTCATAAAAGAAGAATTTTTAGTTTCCATTATCAACGACACATATAATGTATAAATCAGTATGGCATAATGCTATATTATATTTGCCACTCTGATATAAGATAAACAGTTTAACCATTACCAACATTTTGAATGCGATGATTATCATACACAATCACTTAATTGATATTTCTCGAATTTCAGTACTTAACTCATGCCTTTTCTTTACCAAAATTTATTTCTTAAACACACGCTCACCTTTCTATCACATATTTTGGTATGTAAAACTCAAACATAAACTGAAAAGTTCTATCAGTAAAATCCAACAGAACATTAAATTGCAAAAGAAATTTATGTTGGAAATATGAGAATCAGATGTTGAGCTTGGCTGCCTTCCTCTAAATATGATTAAATTCTTTATTATTAAGACTAGGAAAATTCCATTCAAAATGGAATTTTGAATTCCTCCGATAGTGGAAAGGACAGAAAAAATACACAGATAACCAACTGTGTTTTATAGAAGTAACTCAAATCGAATAATGCTGTACTTTGTATTATTATAACTGAGTTGAGTAAATAATACAAAAAAATACCTTGGTACTTGCAATGTATGCAGCTTTGACCGTTAACACAACAGCATTCAACAGATTTCTAGCAGTTTGAATCAGCGACATTGCTGATTCAAGTCCGCTAACTACCAATTCATTACCAACTTGCTGCACATCTGCCTTTACCTACAAATACAAAAAAATAATTTCTTTCTGCAACAATGAATTTTTTCTAATTGAAATTCTATAATGAAAAGAAAAATATAAAACAGATACGAAATTCGCAGAATCTTACCCTTGACAAGTCTGTAAAAGTGATAAACTTGTGGAAATTTTTATATGATGACAAAAATAGCACAAAGTTCTTCAATTTCTAAAAGCATAGTTCCTCATCTAAATTTGATCTTCTAATTAAAAGTGGAGTATCTGATAAGGTCAACTTACTAAAGTTATTTTAGGAAAAATGCAACTCTATTTCTTTTTATCTAACTTATCGTTAAGTTAGAGTTAACGATGATTTTCCATCGCCACCATTTCACAATATACTATTTGCTATAGTACCAGTTATATCCCTCGCAATTTTATCAATAATTTAGTGAACGAGGCATACTCTGCTTGTTATATTCAATTGTTGACAGTAGAGAGTTATTCGTTGCAGGTATGCAAAGAGATCTTTTTTTGTTTCACTTTCCACACTTTCATCACCAATCTGTTTAGCCAAAGAATTTAGTTTTGCACCCGCATCAGAAATTTCTTGCGCAGCTTTGATAACATCCATTGTGGTCTTCAAAGGTCCACGACCTCTACAATTCATCTTAAATTGAAAAATATTCACCAGTACTGAAAACACAACAATTCATCACCAATAAAAATACAAATTAACAAAAAAAAATTCACAATCTAAAATATTCAAACACAAAAAACAACAAAAATATTTTAAAATATAATTATTTATTACAAAAATAAATATCTGTCCCATTATAACTCAAATAATCAGCAGAAAAAGTACTCATTGGACCCATCAAAAGCACTGACTCAGCACTTCCAATCATTCTAATCTTCGAAGAAAATCTGATGTGCAGTAATCAATTCATTATTTTCTTTATTGTCTTAAGAATATTTTGAATTAATTACGTTTCATTTGATTTAATTAAGAAATTTAACTAATAACATGATCCAGAAATTCAGCTGTATTTCATCTAATCTTAATTAATTATTGAGTAAGAAGTATTAAATGTTGACTTCATGTCATGAAATCTCAAGGTATAAGTTTATAGACTATTCAAAATAAAGAGAGAAAAAAAATATTCTTTGGAATAATCTATTAGGGTAATGCACTAAACTTATTACTCATGTTACAGTGGTCAGTTGCTCGAAAAATTCGAAAATTCCGAAACGAACAAACCTAGTAAAATCAGTCATATTCATCATAATCATACACATATGTTTTGCTAATACGATAATATCATTTCCAGTTTCGTCCCATTTTGCCACTTCTCTTTCAAACTTGCTTTGTGTTATCTAAAATAAGTATTATTATCCTTTTTCAAAGTGCCTACAATGAAGCAATTCTAATATGCATGTACAAAGCAATATGAATAAAAAAGTCAAACCTTGAAAACATCAATTTGTTCTTGGATTTTTCGTTTTTCTTCCTCCGGTAATCGTCGCATTATTTTTTGTTCATTTTCAATGTCAGCTGTTTGATTTCTTGAGTCTGGATAGTTCATTCCAGCATCTGTAACTAGTAAACGATAGGAAAAAGGAAGCTGCAGTTTATTCTATATATTGTGTTAAGCCTCATACCTTCCTCGTACTCGTTGTCTGAATCAACATCTTCCGGATTTCGATTCATCAACAATGCATTCCGTATTTCTTTCACGGCATTGTGAACCAATTCACTAGCTTCGATAAATTCATCCACGTCAGCAACATAATCTCTATTCTCACTACTATTTCCTTCTGCTGTTTCGTTCTCCAATTTGTTTACTACTCTCTCCGCTCGATCAGCGAACTGATTAATCACTAGAATAAGCATACATCTATCATTATTTTTATTAATTATTCCACTTATTATCATCAGTAGTAACAGTAAATGAAAACAATACTATTACGATTAACTTATCAGGAATATCACTCTTTTAATATATCTCTCATGGTGAAATTAATACTCTATGATGGTGTAAGATTTACCATCATCTCTGAGCAATTTAGTCGCCATTCTAACACGATCTCTATACGAACTGGCCGCAACCATATCCATTTCGGAATCAACCACGTTGCAAACACGCAAAGAACGGCCACGAATACCACCTGCAGCCCGATCAAGTAAATAACCATCTCCATTGATCACAGCCTACAATTTGTATGATGAGACCAACCATTATATTACATCACATTATCATTAATTAAATATATCAACAGTTCTAACAGAAAGTATTCCAAAAAGATACCTGAATGCCGCTTTTCACATCTTCAATAATATGAGCCTCACTGACAGCCAAAAAGTCATCTACTGTTATCATCGCATCGACAGCCATCGTTAGCAGCTTCACCTAAATAAATTGAACAACTTCAGTCTTATTGTCATAAGACATCACAATCAACAAATATCATGTTTAAAAAGCACTGTGTAACATTTACTTTCTCGATCCATGCATTTTTAAAAGCCTCCATATTATCCCTTGCCACCTGGCTATCTCTCGCGCTTAGCAAATAAGCGGCATTAACTACCTGCAAAAAAAACCAACACTACCCTTTGTTATTTAATTACAATTTAAATTTTTATATCATATTATGATGCATACTCCAGACTACAAGGAAATTGTTCTTAAACAACTGCTTAAACCTTTCACAACTGCAAAAGATCCTAAAGAGCAAAAGCATAAAATCATAAATCCATCCATTCTGCAACCAGATAAATTTACCGATTCACAAAACATAGATGAACTGTTGAATATTAAATAAATAAAAGTAACGGCAACAAGGAAAGCAAAAGTGAAAAAAATACCTGAGGTGCAAGTTTGTCAATAATTAAGGCCGCATATCGAATAACGCGAATACCATCTTCATTACTACTCATTACACATACCAGCTCTGCTGCCTAAATTGTACGAATTATCCATTCAAAGAAAGTCTGATAGCAATATATATGACTAGTAAAATGTAAAAAATTACAGATAGCATATTTAACATTTTATTATACAAAAAACAAAACCCAATCATGAATATTTAGTTTAAACAGTAAAACACACCTGCAAAAGTTTGTTTGCATGCTCCTGGAACATTTTTCCACTTTCAATTGTTGTTCTTTCGTCATGTCTTTGAGCATTTTCAATAAGCATCATTAGAGGAGTGATAGTATCCAGAAAGGCATCGCTAACATGATCCACGATAGCACGTCGCAAATGTCGTCGCAAATCCTTCGCTTTATGTCCCAAATGAACCATCGCTAAGTCCAAATCTTCCGAAGGCTCGGCACGTCCACACTAAAGAGATGAGGATGTTCTTCAATTCAATTCCTTATTCTCTTTTTGATTATTGTATTTAGATTTCTTTAAAGAAAAGTGCAATAGAAATGTTATAATTGTAGAATTAGGATAATTGTAAACATTTTTCTCGTATTCAGCAAGCAAATCTTGCAATGCTTGTCGCAAATTATTGCATTCATCAACAATTCTTTTCTTCCTTTCATCTCTCGTGTTTTCTGAATCTGCAATGGCAGCTACACCGCTTACAATCTTTTCTAAGAGACCTTCAAGTTCTGGACGATGCAAATGATCTTTGTAAGAGCTTGGTTCCATATAAGCTCGAGTCTAAAAAAATATTAGATTAAAATGACCCAGTTCCATCAGGGAAAAAATAAAAAATAAGATCTCGGATGATCATGACAAATTCCTATAAAGAACGCACCTGAAAATGATCAAGCTGTCGTATAAGATCACCAACAAGACCGTAATGCGAAAGACAGATATCTCTGTTAGCTGCACAACCTTGCAAAATATCAGCTATAGTTTGTAAGGCTAGCGACATTTGCGCATGTGAAAAATCACGATTTAAACGCACTTGATCTACTTCCGGATGGCGTATGTATGCCTGAAAATAATAACTGACATGTTCGAATTTTGTAATGCATTTTCTGTAATTTTGTTCCTACGCCAAAGTGTGTGTGATTTTATCACGATGATCACACATTATTTGATCTCATTACACAAATAATCCGTGTTATTAGCTAAAATTAAAACTACCAAAATATCAATTACCGTAGAGGAAGTATACATGATCACACTGTTCAGCTTAAGCCATGCTCGAGCTGCCTGCAGATCATCCTGCTCTGCTGGATTTCGTAACTCTAGGATACGTCGTTTAATACTTGCATCCAGCTGTTCCAAACAAGAGTTTAACGATTCAAATAATTCTGATAACTCCTGCTTCGATTCAGCTGTAACCATAAGATCCATTATGTCTTGAGCCTAAAATTAAAAGAATATTCCTTCAGATAAAAAAATAAGACTTGACAAACCAGGTATTTTATGTGGTTATATAATAGTTAATTCTTGCACTGCGTCATCAAAAGTTTCTTCGCTGCTATACCTGCTTCAGTCAGAAACAAGCCTCTGTACAACGCTAACTTATTTTTTGAAATATTTTGGACGATTAAAAGTCATCTATTATGCAAATTTTTATTCCTTCTTCATCAAAATGCATAACCTGTACGACTATGCAGTATTTGTTATCAGAGAGTGTTGAAAGTTGTATCCTAATCTTTAGTACAAGAAAATGGTTACAGAAACAAAAACTGAAAGTCGTTTAGAAAAAGGAAGTTTTCTAAATCAATTTCCTCCAAGAGGACCTTAATTTAGCAAATATCCGGAAAATTGGATTCATACCTTAGCAACTTGAAGAAGCATTATACGTACATCTACCATATCGGCTATAATAAGCATTCGTGCTACTAAATTTAATAGATTTCGAGCTGCTCGTACTGCATGTGCACGTCGATCCGTATTACTCGTTTCCTCCACAAAATCATGTCCTCTGTTAACCATTTCGATACCTTAATCGAAGAAGCAAAATCTCATCGTTTATATCATACATTTTAGAATTTAATGATTAGTTTAGTTCATAGATGAGAATGGCTATATAAGGTGCTTATTACTCACCAAATGGAGTGAACTTAGGTCTAGAAAGCCACTATTTATTATTAGCAACAAATAAGAAATAACATTAATTTAATTATCCTTCATATCCCATTTTAAAATGTTAAAATCTACATCTTAAAAGAGAATTTTTGTTTCCTTTGTTCCTTCTTTTTTTTGATAAACTCCGAAGATCATGACAAGAGAAAATTTGACAGCATAATACAGAAGAATTTTTTAAGCTTTATTAGCCTTCGAAATCTCGTATGAGGCCAACCTTCTATATTTCCTGAATTTTTATTATTTGCTTCAGTAAAATTTAAAATAAATTTTCGGTTTACCAGCATGCTCTACATTCTGTAAAGTTTCATTCAACTGTTCCAAAGCATTTCCAACAGCAATCGGACATTCAGCAATAGCTGAACGCCCTATTTCCACAAAATTACGTACAGTTCGTTCGATTGCAGCCACCAATACAACGCCACTCTTCCCGCTGCGTTTCAGAGAATGCATGCCATTTAGATTGGTTAAACTTGTCACCTATAACAGTAATTAGTCATTGCTAAGAAATTTCTAGTTTTGCATCATATATAGCATATAAATGTGAAATGAATGCATGTAATACTTGGCAATTTTTATA